CAGCTGCAGCAAGTGCTTTGCCGAAATTTTAGACACAGGCTATATGAATTGTTTATGTAATCATCTCTTTTTATGCAGACAGATCTCTGCCTTAATAAAAAGAAGTCAGTGTATCGCAGGGGAGATGTGTGCTTTACTGCCTGCATTAGCAGAGCAGATGGAATACATGGCACTTGTATGAATACAGCAAGAGACTGAATTTTCACTGTGAATTTTTAACAGTTATGGTTGTTACTCTCTGATCTATCTGTTCTGGGACAGGAAATGGAGCATTCTGTCTTTAGGGTTGTCAGTCAAGCATATCAGACAGCATTAAATTCACTTGTCAAACATCTAGATGTTGTTTCTCCTGTACAGTAAATATTTTCCAAAATCACAAATATTTTTATATAATCAGAGAGTTTTGGAGAAAATAAAAGCCCTGCTGGAGGGACATCTACAATCTGGAGTGAAAACTTAGGAATGTCCTCAGAATATCTAATATTCAGTCAGCTATGAAGTCTGTGGAGATAATTTGAAATCTGAAGCTCCCTATGGATGTTTTGTTTCCCCTTTAAAAAGGTTGGCTTGCTTGTAAAAAGGAATATACTCAGAAGCTCTAGACCTTCCTCTTAAGTCTAAGAAGAGACAAGATATGAAAGGTATAGCAGTTTTCTACACCTGAAATGCAGCCTTAACCTCTTTTCAGCATTTTTAAGAGGAGATTTGAAACATTGCACATTACAAACAGGACATCTAATGAGAGCCTTGGTTACAGACAAGGAAAGCATCTCTCCACTTTACCCTCAGACTGTGATTAATACAGTCCAAAATACTATTTTCCTGTGGATTTGAAAACAAGAAGCAAGAGAAGTTATGATGTTAGTCTACGTTAATTCTAAGCACCTTTTTAACTCAGCTGAAAATAAGGTCTCACAAAAGAAAGGCACACATAGCACAAAGTAAAGGCAGGTACAGAATTTTGGGAAGGTACATCAGCTGTGCCATCTCATTTTTTCCTACTTTTTGTTGAAACATTTCAGAATGAAATTTAGAACAGAGAATTATTCATAGCAGGCTAAGCTTTATTTTTAACTCTTAACATAATATGACATTGCAGTAAGGGATTTAGTATAAATTTAGACCAAACTGCCTTTCTCTTACTGCAAAGCCAGATAAGTTCCCTTCAAACATTTGGTTTTCAAGACAGTTCACCCTGCTATTTTAACTCTCTGCACATTTGGTGGCACATCTTGTTTCTAAACCTTTTCTTCCACTATTCTTTTTTTCCCTTACTTACTGACACAGTTCCCAGGTTAGAAGCTGACTATTAATGATTTCTTTTTCTTTACATCACTGAATGAATCTTTTCCCCATTATTTGTAGAGTTGCTATAGAAATAAAACAATCATCCATTCTGTACTTCAGATATAGCTTCTAAACCACGTTACTGGTGTCATCCAAAACCTGTGCTCCTTAATAACCCTAATGCAATTACATCTTTAAAAAGCCACATGATAAGGCCAGACCGTCTCTGGTAATGACCAATAGCAAACACAGAGGAAAACAGAATTAGCAATTTTCTACAAAGTCTTGTAGAAACAGCATTACTACAGTTGCAAAACTAGGAGAGCGTGTTTCTTTAAGATACAGCTTGAATTGAGCTGGCTATCCAACCCCTAATGGAATTATGTTCTCAGAAGTATCCAGACATCACATGAAACACAACACAAGCTGGATTCTGAGACTACTTTCCACATTAGCTATTTCTGTAATAAGCTGGGAACAGAAATGGTGAATTTCACCGTAAGAAAGGGATCTTATACATATTATTGCTCTCATCAAGGTTCCTATCACAGCTTTTTATGCACTATAATATACATTTATCAGCATAAGAGATAATTTCCTCTGTGCCTTTACTATAATTTCCCCATAACATTCCTCTCAGACAAGTTTTCCCACTAATATACCAATGCAGCCAAAGAAAATTCTATACAGCACTAACAGAATAATTATTGGCTTGTTCAAATTACTTTAAGTCAGGAAAGGAACATAAACACAGATGATGTTAAATTGAAAACAGGAAAGTAACATCCTCAAACAGTAGGAATGGTCAAAGTTACCTTGCATTGAAATGATGAAATTGATTTTTCATTAGGAGTAAAAATACAAGTACTTTATATACCTAATGGGAAAAAAACAAATCAATGTTCATCTGCGTGGGGGGGTTGGCAAATTCCATATTGATTTGAAAGAAATTGCAATTTAAAATGTCCAAGAGATTAATTTACTGTATCATTTCACTATTCAGCAAACAGCAAGAGTAAGCTTAGTGTACATGGCCAAAAATACCAAATAAAACTTACCCTAATTAAATGTCCACGCATAAATGGATCTGATGAAATAACATCCTAAATCTGGCTAATTCAGCTGCTCTCCCTGAATTTAATTATTCTAATTAAAATCATCAAGCATCTATCTGCCACGAGACAATTAAAGGCTTGCATTTTCATATCCAAAAGAAAATGCAAAGCTTCACAACTGAAAAGTAATCTATTCCTACAGGATACAATGCCAGAAAGAAAAACATGACAATCTATGTTTTATGTCCCAGGAATGGAAATGGAACATAAGACAGACGTTTTTGAACAGTGAATAGTTGCCATGTTTTACAGTATGTTTCCACTTAATCAGGTAGCACCAAGGACTTCAAAGACCGAAAAAAACCAGTAAGGTGCAAGCAAGACAAAGGCTTTCACAACCTCCTGTCATCTCATTTTAATGCCAATAGGTTCTTGCTGGTTCTCCCTATATTTCAAACAAGTCTCTTTTTGAACTCAAGAAGAAAATAATAACATGGTACAAAAGCTATAGTTGTGACTAATGAAACACAATGCACAAACATTGGTTTGCCAACAAGTATCGGGGTCTGTGAACAGCATTAAAAACATACTCAGAAACTTCCACAAGCACTGGCAGAGCCCCCTCAGAGAACTTCAACAAGAAGCAAGTCATGCCACCATCATACCTTTAAGTAAATCATCCACATTTCCCTGTTACTTTTCTCTCTATCCACACAGAAAAATTTAGGTGAAACATGAAGATGTACTGTTGCCCCCACACAGAGTATTCACTGGGTGCAAACACTGATTGCAGTTGGGCTCAGACTTCTAGGATGTGTTTGAGACTTCCCAAAGAGAAAACAGAACCCAAGTGTCACCTTAGAAAGTACCTCTAGGAGGACTTGTCTCAAACTAACCCACTGCAAAAATCCAGTATTATTGTCTGCTACTGTTATAAAGTGCAGAAACTGGGATAAACTGAAAGAACCTTTGAACAGGTCAATAAGGCACCAACACTCTGACAAAGTGATGTAGCATCAAGAGTAAAATGGGAAAGTACTTGCAGGCTGCAAAGAATGTCCTAAGATAACAGACAGCTTGACACACAGTTGTGCACAAACCTAGAGAGATGTGAATATGAGCTAAATAGTCAGGTATTGGAAATACTTTCCTCGAGTCATGAAACACTACTGATAGTTTAAGTATGATTCTGAATAACAATGGTATTTAAATACTATTATGAAACCAATATTCCATTTGTGATCTCATTTCAGTTTCAGAGTGAAAAAAAAAAAAAAAAAAAAAAAGTGGGTTGGAAAGCACCAGTCACTTAATTTCAGAGAAAAGGTACCCTGCCAGCCAAACACCAACTTGAACCTGCAGTATATCTCTCTCAAGCTGCAGAAGCACATCAGTGAATAGCACTGCCTTTAAAAATAGCTGCACAGGTGACTAAGAATGTGCCAACGTGATAAATACCTGTGACAAACATGCTTCACACTATTAAACAAGTACACCAAACCTGGAAAAAAGTGTACAAGGGCACATTTTAAAAAAGCCTTTGAAGGAAAGATCTGAAAGACTCTTTGAGGACTCTCAAGTAGTACTTTGTTATACCACTGCTTTCAGGGTTTTATTTTCTGCTGAGAGATTAAGGTTTTACTAGAGTGAGTAAAGACCATCCAATCGTTTACCCAAAACGACACAAGTGCATCATACTGTGAGTGACTCAAACTGCAGTCTGTGGACCCACACAGACAGTCCTCAAGCACAGCAGTCAGGCAAGATCGACCAGAAACAGGCATAATAAAACACCTCAAATTAGTCCGTTAATGTTCCTCTATGAGCCACAGGGATTAAAGCATTTGTAAAAAGCAGGAAAGGGTAATTATTCCTGCTAGAATTGGATGATCAATTCACCAAGTAAGCTCAGAAATCTGCTTGCCTGTGGGCATAAGGAGGAACTCTGAGCTGAGGAGCTTTTCAGAAAGCTAAACTCTGAGAGCTCAGTGCCTGCAGCCTATTATCCTTCACACATGACATCAACACATTATTGAGTGGCCTCAGTATCTATCAAGATCTGGCCTGTCACACATTTCAGTGATAGAAGCTTTGTCTCTCAAGGCATTTGTAAGATGTCCAGGCTGGAGGAGACGTGCTGGAGAGCAGCTCTGCAGAGTAGGACCTGGGGTCTTGGTGGACAAGCTGTCCATGGACCAACAGTGTGTCCCTGTGGGCAAGAAGGCCAGTGAGATCCTGGCATGCATTAGGAAGAGCATTGCCAGCAGGCTGAGGGAGGGGATCCTGCCCCTCAATTCAGCCCTGGTGAGGAGCACCTGGAGTTCTGTGCCCAGTTCTGGCCTCCTCAGGACAGGAGAGACATGGAGCTCCTGGAGCAGGTCCAGAGGGCTACAAAGGACTGCACTGAGCACCTCTCTTACGAGAGGGGCTGAGGGAGATGGGCCTGTTGATGGACCCACTGTGGTCCCTTCAACCTCACCCATTCTGTGAGCTGGTGATAGGTAAAGCTGATTTTCAAAATGAGAGCTAAGAGGTTGTCTAGAGATAAGCCAGGCTTAAAATGAAGTTCAAGAGAAAGAAATGCCATATACATCACAAAGGCAGCTCACTCAGGAGAATTAGAGTTTTGAAAGGATGACAGGAAAGAGCTACAAAACTAGTTTTTAGCCCCAGTTCTTTAATAAGGATTACACTTGGGAAATAAATGCACATCAAAACACAACACAAGCATGTGATCTAATCAATAACTGTAAAAATTGTCTACTGCAAGAGACACTCAGAAAACAAAGGTACCAAAACTTCCTTTCCCATTCCATTTGAACTGATTGCCCTCAACAGAGATGAACATATCCTGTGACATGAAGTTTTCATCAGCTTCTGTAATTCCCAGTTCACTCAGTCTTTTCTTGTGCATCTTGCTCTTCTTTGCAGCAGTAGCCCCAAGTTCATTGGCAATTTCACAGTTGCCTTCAGTTTGCCCAGAAGTCTCAGCTCGCTCATAACGCTCCAACTCATCAGTCACACACTCTGGTTGTTGTTCTTGCCTGACCTCCTCCACACACTGGGTAGGTTGTGTCTCATCACCTGACTGGGTAGGTTGTGTATTCCCTAAGGCAGGAAACAGTAAGAATGTCACCACAGTCACGCAAAACAGCCCCATCATTAAAAGCTTATGTAATTAATTTTCTTCATTCTTAACATCCTCACCTCATCCCACTCTCTCTTTGGTTTGCTACTTCATGACAGCCACAAATTACCAATACAAATTATGAATTATTCAATCCAAAAGCCTGGGTATACTAGATTTACTAGTTTTAGGAGTTTCTTCTAGGAAGACAAAAATAAATACCTTTTGTTGGCTGTGCTGAAGCATCCTTTACCTCAGAGGGTCCTGGTTTAACCAGGACCACACCATAACCTTCATTATTATGGATCACATTGTTAACCATGGTTATCTTGGGAACATCATAGTGCTCATCTAAGAAGCTCTGCAGAAAAAAAAAAAAAAAAAGTCCAACATGTTATATTCAGCTAAAGGGCTACTAAAGTCTTCCAGTTTTGGGTGGAATCAGTTCTACCTATTGGTTAGGGCTGGATTATTTGCCTATATAAGTGACATTGCCAAAGGCATTTTCTCTTTCTGCCAGATAAGAAATCAAACCAGTTGACTGCTGTGATGGCCAACTCAAGGCAAACAAGTACCATTGTCATCATATGTGACAAGTAAGAGTTTCAGCATAATGCAGCAAGGCTTTAAGGCAACCTGAGTTACTGGCACTAATTCCAGCAGCTTTCAGAAGCTTTCAGAAAACAAGTGCATTGTGCTGGGGACTGACCTTGATGAGTATTCCCTCCTTGCAGTGGTGTATCCCGTTGTGGAGCAGGGTGCACATACTCCCTGGATATATTTCCACACCAGCTCCCTGCAACACACAATTGGCAGCAGTTGACAAACAGTTCGGGCACATTCACAACTTAACTTGACAGCCCCGTTGCAGATCTGTGTGTTCATCTCCCAGTTTGCACAATGCAAAACTGTGTTACCACCTCAGCTTTGTTACCCAATTTAAAAAGCAATACTCAAGGCTGAGGCCCCAGGGATTGTATTATAAAAGCCTGGTGAAGAGTAGCTGCCCAGCCTTGCATTACCTTCTTGTTCTTTAGTCATCCCCCTCAACACCCCAAGCCCCATCATTCTTCAAAATGCCCTAATCAGAGTTCATTTCTGTGCTTATCATCCTTCTGTAAGAATCCATGGACAAGGTGTCCAAAAAGGGCATTTCACTTGCAGAAGAAATGCAAGGTTTCATAAGAAAACTATTTATGGGCAGAGAAAATAGAAAATCACTTTAAAAATATTGCAGGATGTGAATCAGTCTGGCAATGCATCAATTATTGTTTCATAGATGTCCCCTGTTACAACATCATTTTCTAATCACACACAAATCAGCATGAGACATTTCAGTAGACACTGTTGGAGGATACAGGACCCCTGGGACCAATCTCTTAAACTCACTAACATGTAGCTGTCCAAAATTAATTTGTAAAGGTTCTCTCCAGAGCGACAGGAGTCACGCTGTGACTGACTGCACCATTTCCAAACAGAAACCTTTACTTTAAACTAGGAAATAAGGCAAAGTTAAGGAATAGTCTGTACCTTGGCCCCATAGAGGTCAGAGTTCTTCATCACCAGCTCCGCTGACATCCGCACTGTGATGCCTGTGGTTTCACACTGTAACACACAGTTCTCCAGGGTGGTTTTCCCATGATGGATATCTGCATGCACAGAAGCCAATTACTGCTGGATGAAACAGTCATGCAGAGATAAAGCCCCCTTACAGATAGACAGCCTTACAGAATTTTTGCACTGTGATAAAACTCCCATTGTAATTTTATCCACTTTGGGTTAATTTTACTAATTTGCCCATGCATGGGTTGAACTCATGCTGTTTTTCTAGAACAAGCAGGAACACTGCTGCAAGGGAGCACTGCTCAAAGGTTTGTTGTGGACTTTTTTGGCTTTTCTTTTTTTTAAACAAACAGCAGCAATCTTTCCATTACATTCCTAAGAGACTTTTGAGTTCAAAAGATATTAAATACATGCATGCAAGTGTTAACAAACATTTTAAAATCAAATGTCTGTTGGGGCAAAGTATTAATCAGTGCCTTCTGGAAAGACAGGAGGCCACGGCCAATAAGCTTCTTGGATACAATTTAGGATTGGTTGAGTCTCAGTTGGAAGCTGCTGTCAGAAACAAAGTTTACACCAACATATTCCATTCCTCAGTGGAGCACTGGCTGGGGCAGCTACAGTGAGTATTCCCATGGGGGCTTTCTGTGGAAAGAGGAATTACCTCCTTTTCCAGGTAGCCTGACAAAGGCTGTGCAGCAGTCAGAACCAGGTTGCCTTAACAGCAGAACAGTGATTGAGTCAAATGATCTTATCCCAGTATAATAAAATATAAGAGCCACAGTAGCTTGAAAGTACAGAGTATAAGTTATTTTGATGTTCACATTATAAGCAAGTTAAGAAGAGGAGGAAGCCTTGGTATATATACCCGTAGGGCTCCTCTCTACAATATTTTGTTGAAACTACTGAACTCCAACACTGGGTCCCAGCTTTTATTCTAACACTAAATTAAAGAGTCACAAAAAGGTCAAGATGCTTTTACACTTACTTAAAATCCCCTCCACAGCATCATGTTGCACCAGCTTCAAACTGGAGATCCTCACATTGGCTCCTGTGCAGTCAAAAAAGTTGTCTCCTTTGCCCTGGTTTTCTATCACAATATCATCTGGCAGCCCAAAGCCTGAAAGCAGAGGGGAAAGGTGCAAGTGTGAAGAATAACTGGTGACAAAGAGGTGCTCAGTACATAACAGATATTTGAATTAAAGATGGAGGTTTAAAACTTGAGGTACTAATATACTGAGAATAGACTTTTCCACCAAGTGCCCAGGCTACAGCCTTACCTTGGCCCCTCTGTGCCAAGGTACAGGCACTCAGAACCAAATTCAAAAGTTACCTTACTGGAATGACAAAATGCAAAATTATCTAAGATAGTTGAACAATTGGGTAACTGAGCTCACATTTGCTAAGGCCAGAGTTCTCACTCCCAAAAGTTACAGCAGAGCAGGGGGATGCAATGAGGACACACAGGCACCTCCAGTCTGCTTTCAGAGGACACGAATTCGCTAGAGCAGGCAGAGGTTTCAAAGAGCACAAAAGGAAAAAGCAGTCACCACCACAACATGAGGAAAAAAGTGCAAAGGACTTGGTATTGTTAGTAAGCTTCACTCAACATGAAACTTGGGTGAAAATTCAGTGTTTGTGTGTTACACAGGCTTCCAGATTAATTCAGATTAAAAAGAAGCTTTCACAAGCATGTGCCAACATTGATTTACTGAGCCATCCACAGTTGTCAGCATTCAAACACTTACAGGGAAATTTATGAGCATGTAAAGCTTTTATTGCTTGTCACTGACAAGAATCATGATAAGGAAAGCAATAATGCAACATCTATTAAAGTAGCATGAGTCCTATCATCTTCTGAAAGCACACACAAACTCGGATAAGAAGTGCCTGAATGCCAGCTTTTAGCCAAGTAAATAAATGAATACTGCCATGTGCAATTAGAAAGGTTAAAAAAAACCAAAACAAAACAAACTGTGAACAAGAGTTGGCAGAAAGTTTTAAAGACAGCCAATGTAATGCAAAGTTAAGTAATTGATACTTCATCATAGAAATCTTTCCCCACTGCTCCTGGTTTGTGGTCACCCCTGGAGAGGAGGTGTGTGGGGCAGTTCACTTTCAGCACACAGAATGAGAGCAGCACAGGACAGCAAATGGCAGATCTCATTTAACTTCACACCACTACAGAAAGAGGTTAATATCCAAGGCAAGTTTTGGGACTAACTGTCCTGCAGACAGCTAGGAACCCTGCAGTTCCTCTAACTATGCTTTCAGCTTGCTGCACACTTCAGCTCTGCCTGGCAGCTCTAGTAGAGGGAAGGAAGCCAGTGCAAGGCAAGGAACAGAGAAGGAAAGGTTCCTCTGGTGCCCAGTGCTGTTCAACACAACATAGTCCTGGCTGTGCCCCTGCCTGCACGAGGGGCTCCACAGGAGCTCAAGCCAACTATCATCCAGTAACGCTGATCACAGAGGGGCTGATGCTCAAGATGCCCAATCCAGCTTGAAAAACCACTGCACAAGCAGAAGGAAAGATCTCAGGTACCTTTGCATCACATTTTTTTCAAGCATGGAAGTTATCCTTGCCATGACTTCCTGCAGCACCTACTGCTTTAACCTTACTTAGTTCCTGTAAGTTTTTATTTATCCCTGACTTACTCATCTTCATACTTCATACTTACTTGGTACTGACTTGAAAGAGTGGCTGCAGAAAAAAATAAAAGCTCTACTAAGCAAAGTGATATTATATCTCTCATGAGTCAGCCCTTCATCCCAAGAAAGCCACCAAAGCAGCAGCTGCTCAGATTAGTGCCAGCAAAGTTTGTCTTGATGCTCCTACTTCAAAGGTTTTTGGCTGCTACTATTGCTCTAATACCTTATCCAACAGGAGTCCATATAAGAAGATTAAATACCCTGACATGTACTCATTCAGAGTGTAGTTTGTACTAAAGATGGGTACTTATATGCCTTGCTCCTTAAAATAGAGCACCTCATCCTTTAATGTGTGCTACTGCACCATTTATTTTACTGCTTCCTCAAAGCTTGAGGAATAAATACCACCACACACAATTTTAGAACCATTTCATTCTTGAGATAAATAAAGCACTTTATCTAGGTCCCTTATCCTGCAAGTGCACTGGCTATCAGCATGTTTATCTGTATAAATCAAACACACACAAGAGACGGGCAAGAAAGAAAATGACACTCATAAAACAAAAAGGGCAAGAAAAATTAAAGTCCAGAACAGCAGGAAATTAAACTCTCACCCTTCTTCCCATTAAGAAGCTTTGACAAGATAAAAATGCAACTGTATAAGTATCTAAGCTGTACAAGCCCCAACGATAAACTGCAACAGAATGTGCCTGCCTAAAGCTGAGGGATTGCACTGAGATATCAAGAATGGTGAAGGAGAGATAGCAACATATCCTGGACAAGGCAAAAGGATTTTAAGCACAAATTTTTTGCAAGAAAAATCATAGAATGACATATGCTGTGTCTGTTTCTACAGAAAAAAAAAAATGCCTTAAACCAAAAGCTCCCTCCTTTACCCACATGATTCACATAATACAGCCATTGCTGACGTGCTCCAAGTTCTAACAGCCCCTGGCTTGTACCCTCTGCATTCCCCAGGGCTGCACTGACTGTGGGGCTCAGAGTGTACCCCTGAAGCAGATTAGGACATGCAAACAAGGACATCTCTCAAGTACTCAAGTCAGTGACTCTAAAAACTGAAGCCTTTCAGAATTACTCCTGTGCTTCCCAGATCACAACAATCCAGTCCCTTATGTTCCTGTTGAATCCTCTCTATTACCTATGTAATCACAATTTATGAAGACAAACAGGAGGAAATAATGGATTTGCTATTAGTCAGCAATATCTGCAGTTTATTTGCACCACGGCTAATGAAAGAACTTAACTCCACCCTGCCTCAGCCATGGCTCTAGAGCAGAAACAGAATACTTGGAAGAAAAAAAGCAAATGTTTCCAGCAAACTCTGCAAAGAGTAAATCCTTATGCAGAGCTGATTTAATTCATTCTATTTCCTTGTTTCATGGCCCTTTATGCTATTAAACCTTCTACCTTCTAGTTCAACTGAGTCAGCGATGCAGAACACGCCATCCACAACGTAATGCCCGGGAAAGATGATGACTGTGTCTCCTTCATAACAGGCACTTACAGCTGTCAGTGGGTCACTGTGAAACTGCAAAAGACAAAGCAAACTACAATCAGCTCCTGAAGAATGCTATAAAAATGGATGCATTTATGCCCTTAGAGCTTTCTTTTCAATTAAATGTTGCTGCTTTTGTAAAGAAACCCTTTTTAATGGCACCAATAATACACAATTTCTACTTTGAATTCAGGAATCGTAGCACTCACTGGACAAAAACAACCTTAACAGATGCCTTTGATGTTTGTGTCATGCCCATTTCCCCACGAGGAAACTGGGGCAAAGACACAGATAGAAGAGCATGTGCACCAGAAAGCAAACTCACCATGGCCTTGTTTCCAGGCCAACATCTGAATTCTGCCCCAAGTGACTTGTCATGAATTGCTGAAGAAATAGGTGACAGAAGGTAAACAAAATAAAAAACCATCCAGCAAATAGATCAGAGCTGGTCTGAACACTGGTGTAACCCTTCCCTCCTAGTTCAAGTCACCCCAAAACAGAGTTCAGATATCACAGTGGCAAATATGGTGTCCACAACTTCCTTTTCCTTCATAAAGGGGCAGGCTGATACCCTTCACAAACATTACCATGAGATTCCATGCCAAAGGATGAAAAATAGTACAGAAAAACAACAAATTTATTCCTTCCCAGCAAATTCCAGTGTAAGCATAATAATATAAAATCTGATTTGTAGCCTAAAGGGGAATCCAGGACCTTCCCCATGGCTCCATTTTGGCCATCTGTAATTCATGAACTTGATCAGAATACAGCAAGAAATTTTATTTGGGTCCAAGGAATTCAGACTGTCCTTAACTGCTGAAGTAGCAAGTCCTGCCTGAATTCACTAAAACTAAATATAACTGATCTAAAATAAATTGTATCTCCTACACAGGACTAAAGCAAGAGACTGACATTTCCTCCCTCAAACTCTAGATCATTATCAGCAGCATCAAGAGACATGGGTATTTCAAAACTAAATAGACGTATTACACCTTGCCATATTTCATTGTAGAATTATTACAGGTTCATCTCATTTCATCTCATTTCCTACACACAGGAAGAAAACTGCTTCTATAGAGTACTTGGAAACCACAGATGAATTAAAAGAAATTATTTGTATTATCCAGTCTTACCACTTACTGTTTAAATTACAGTGA